GCTGATGATGAACTTTTGCAATCTTTGCTGTATATATTTCAAATCTTGCAGCTGCAAAAATACACTCAGACTTTCATCAAGCTCCTTTGTGTCTGTTTGTCATTCGCCGACTCCTTGTCCACCCTCTCGACGACCCTGTTCCCATCGGACTGAACTGCCCCGGTCTGGGCTGGTCCGTTGCAGACAGCCATGCCGAGGATGCACGCCTAGGCCTCCACCGTCCAGGCTTCATGCGCGAATCCCACCTGTGAGCCAGACTGTGCCTGGTGCAAACGAGATTGGCCGCGGAGCAGCCTGGGAAGCTCCCGCAGCATCACTGGGGTGACAAAGCCCAAGGCAGGCAAGAAGGCACTTCCGGGTTGGGGACCCCGGAGAGAGGGGGGTCAACCGGTCCTTGAGAGAAGCAACGCCCAGGGTCCGGGCTACGCGGATCGGGGGACTGCAGAGGTCTTTTTGGTGTTTGAAGCAGTCACAGAAGTCATTTGCTTTCCGTGTTTGTTACTTCTTACTGTCTCGTGTGCTGCACGCTGCGAGTTCAACCACGTCTTGCTCGAGGAGGTCAGAGGAGGGCGTCGGGTGCCCTGGAGCTGGAATGACAGACAGTCCGCGTGGGGGTGCTGGGGATCGAGCCCGGTCCTCTGCCGGAGCAGCCGTGGTCTTCCCGCCCGGCCGTCTCTCCAGCCTCACTTTCTTCACGAAACCACCCGGCTCCGGGGCGAGGAGTCCGTCCCGGAGCGGACCGCGCGGCCCCTGGGAGGGCAGGAGGGGGGGTCGGGGTCGGACCGCCCCGGAAGCGCGGAGCACCGACGGCCCTCGCTGCGGCGAGGCGGGTGTCGCGGGTATCTGTCCGAGTAGACGCGACCCGCCTTCGGTGCTGAGGTCCCCCCGCTCGTCCTGCCCCGGGTCCCCTGACCCGCACTGAAGTGCCGACCTCTAAGCGCGGTCTCGGACCCGCACGGGAGCTGCGCGCCTCCTAGGTGCTCACCGCTGGGTGCTCGGCACTTCTTGCCCACGTGCCGAGTTGGCGCACGAACCTGCCCACTTTCTAAATGAGGTACCCGGCGCGTGGAAATCCGGGGCTCCCAGGGCGCCGAAGAGGAGGACTGAGGTTAGCACCACATGGATTAGTTAAGCGACGGACTCAGGAAAGCACCCGAGGGCACAGAGGAACGCACACCATAGTGTCCCCAGATCCGCACTACCTGGCGGGGCTCACAGTCCAAACAAGCCCGAGACCCGCCGGTCGGTCCTCGGTCTGCCCCGGGACTCGGGACTAGCCTAGCCGGGGTGAGCCGGGAAGGGGAGGGCGGGGCCTAGAGGGAGCGCCCCAGGGGGCCTGGCCGGTGGGGCGGGGCCTGGGAGCAGCAGGAGGGAGGGGTCGATGGGCGGGGTCGGGAGGAGGAGGCGGGGCCTCGGCGCAGGAGAGGTGGAGCCGGGAGAAGGAAGCTGGAGCAAGGCCCTGAGGAGGAGTAGGCGGAGCCGAGGAAAGGAACCCGTGCGTCCCCGGGACCGGGTACGGGCCGAGGGCGCTCCCTGAGGAGGGCGGGGACGGTTGGGATAGAGGAGGGGCGGGGCCAGTGGGAGGTCGCTGAGTGAGACCTGAAGAAGGGCGCTGAGGAGGGCGGGGCCTGAGAAGGGACGTGCGCCGGGGGCGTGGCCTGAGGACGCACGCTGAGGAGGGGCCAAGCCTGAGGAGGCCGGGCCGGAGGAGGAGCGGGCGGAGAGGCGGCGGCGGCGGCGGCGGCGGCGGGTGCGGAGGAGGGGGGCGGGGGTGTGTGCGCGGGTCACATGGTCGCGCGCCCTCCTCTATCAGCCGCCGTCCGGGCCGCCAA